AGGGAGCGCACGCAGCCCCCGGGTCCGCTCCAGTCCTTGGGCGCCGCCCGGCCCAGGCATCGTGCCACATACTCGGAGCGCAGCTGCTGGCACTGCGCGTCTGCTGTGCACGCCTCGGCCGCGGCCACGCAGCGATTCCCGCCGGTGGAGCTCGCAGACCCTGGTGAGGGACAGGCAGGCTGCAGTCCTCTGTGCTTGGTTCTCCCCCATTCCGCACTACGGAATTTGGGGGTGCCCAAACCCAAGAGCACCACAGGTGTGACTGGGCTTCATCCTGAGAAAGGGGTCCGAGCGGTTCCTAGGGATATCTACCCATGTCGTGAGTGGATGCAGCACTAGGAGGCTGGGCCTGACCTTTCCCCAGAATCTGAGGTCCAGCATCCTCCACCATCTCCAGAACTGCCTCATGCTTCCACAGAGGATCTATTGGGCTCCTTCCATCCTCCCCAGCTCCACGGGGCAGGACACTGAGGCCAACTGATTCAGCTACTGGAGACTGGAAATGGCACCCCTCATCCTCCTTTTAGCACACTAACGTTCCCTTCTCTGACACATGGAAACCCCTTGGGTGAATCTATAGATTTCTGCTCCTCCTATCCTGACCTGTACCTCCTGGCCCCTGTGCCAGGTGCTTCTTCGTGGGTCTGAGTCTAACCTATCCTGCTCCACTGAACTCTGGTTCTGGACCAGCAAAAGGGGGTTCTGGGCATCGGATTCACTGGAAGGGTACTGCGGGTTGAGCACATTCAGGCCCTGGCGTCCAGATGTGGATTCAGACAGGTGGCAGGCTGTAGTGCTTCTTCCTAAGAACAGACCTGGACATTCGTCAGTAGTTTCAGCGAAGTTACAGCTAAGTGACAGATGCCAACCCATTCGGGGAAAAGAGAACACCTAACCCTTCACATCGGAAGTTGGTAGACCTGGCAGCTGTGTCCAGACTTAGCACTGAACACATCTAAATACAGACAAACCAGGAGGTCTGCCAAACACTTTCTAAGAACTGAGTCGCCAAACTCAGGCTTATAGCACTTCCTTTCCCCATCCTCTTGCTAAGACTGGCCTCTCTGGCACCCCAGGCTCTAAAACTGTCCAGCCTGGTCTCTCATCCATCACCCTTAAAGGTGCTCCACTCCACATGGCACATCCTCAACTCTAAGGTCTCCTCTGCCTTAAAGCTTACCAGCTTCTGCACACCTCAGAAAGCAGTCCCTTCCCATGATGCCCTCGGTGGAGAAGGGGCAGCCCTGGAAGGCGGAACATCAACTAGGAGGCACAGAAGAATAAACTGAAAATTACTGTGAAACTCCCCCGAGCAAGAGCTCTGACGACCACATGGGGTGGGGGGAGAAAGTTCCTGGGGCACAGGTATCGAGGCTAGACTTGGGATGGGTGGCTCAGCGGAACCTAAAGTGGAGGTTTCAGTCATTGCGCAGCAGGGGCAGAGTGTTAGGGGTCCCTGGCCACAGAGCACAAGCCATTTTTGAACGTCCCTTCCAGCGTTCCAGCTCTCTCGTTAGTCACCCTCATGCAATCCCACCTTGTCCCTGAGGATCGGTGCCAGGGAGGGCAGGGGCCAAGACCAAGGAAGGGACAGACTCTCACCCAGCAGGTGCAGCAGCAGTAGCAGCAGGGCAGACTCCAAGCAGCAGGCCATAATGATTGGCAGAGCCCCGGCTGGACAGGTGGTGCCACCTTTCTAGAACCTCCTAATCCTGGAGGGCAGCGGGTACCCTGGCGTCTGGACCCACAGTAGTGCCCCGGGCTTTTGAGAGGAAGCCACACCTGCTCTTCTCCCTTTGTCCCCACCCCCAGGCCACTTCAGGCGGATCCAAAGTCGCTAAACTGGGACCTGAAATTGCCTGAATGGCCCCAGACCACTGGATTGCCTGTTGTACACAAGTAGTTGGCTCCTAGTAGGAGCAGTCGCTCCTGGGAGAGGGGAGTCTTCGTGAAACTCTATAAAGTTAAAGATTGAAATCTCACAGGTCCGGGAAAGCTGGAATATGTGAGGACAAGACGGTGGGTGATTAATGGGAAAGCTGGGAAGGATGTTCAAACATGGCTTGTGCTTTGTGGCCAGGGGCCCCTAACACTCTGCCCCTGCTGTGCAATGCCTGGAACCCCCGCTTTAGGTTCAGCGGGGCCACCCCTCCCAAGTCTAGGCTTGATACCTGCGCCCCTTCTGGAGGTTGTAGAAGCTCCTGTGGAAGGGAGACACCCCTGACAGGCAGGGCTACCTGCCAGCCATGCAGAGAGCTCTAGGCTGGCAGCTTCAAAAGTCATCACCCATGTACTGGTGGGTGTTTGGGTGGCACCCGTGCCCCTGTAAGTAGTCCATCGCCATAGGATTTTAAGTAATCCCAATAAACTCATGTATTTGCCAAGTTGGACTTTTGTAGAGTCATTCTTTGACATATGGTCAGACCCCTGGCTGCTGGGATCCGAACACTGGGCAGCTGACTTGGTTGCTGGGATCTGAAATCTGGGCCTCTGGAAGAACTCTGCAGGTGCGGAGGGGCCGGGGCAGAGCAGGGCAGGGCAGGGCAGAACTTGACAGCTGCTGGAAAGCCCAGGGTAGGATTGCCTCCATGCACTGACCTGGGACCAGGCTTGGGGCTGGCAGTGCACCCAGTCAAGGAGGGCGGCATATGCTGAGCTAACAGTCAGCCAGCCCAGTCTGGAGTCAGTGCAAGCAGACCAGAATATGTTGGAGTCCTGCCAGGTAGAGACGGATTGGGGTTAGAAGAAAATGTTCACCACGTGTTTTATTCTACCCAATAAAACCTAAAATAGCCGTTTGCTTTGTTATATAGCATTGAGCCTAAGGATGATTTTCCTTCCAACACTGGGCACAGTGACATCATTATGAGCCAATGCAGGGTGACAGTGTTCCACATGAGCTTGCTGAGCAGAAAAAAAAAACTGCCCCAGAGATGCTGCAGTGCACTGTGGGACACACTGTTTACAGAAAGGGCTAGAAGTTTGTGTTTGCAGCTTCCCAAGCTAGTTCCTATAGCACAGACCACCCACACACAACGCAAGAAAAAGCACGACTGGGTTCCAGCAAAATTCTATTTACCAACACTAAAGTTTATGCTAATTTTCACATTCGTGGTTTTCTGTTTTTAAAGCTATTTAAAATGTAAATACAATTCTTAAAGAAGAGGCCTAGAAAAAGCAAGTAGCCTGGATTTGGTCTCTCCACTGCAGCCGGCTCTCCTGGGCAAAGGCAGCGAGTAGGCTGGGCTTAGCCCGCTCACCACGGTTGGTTCTTTTCCATGCAGGCCTTTAGCTATTGTGTGCCATGATGGAATTTTATAAAAACATCTCCTTTGTTCAAGAGAGACTGAGCTTTTGCTGGACCTCACAGTCAGGCCAACATACCGTGAGACCACTTAGGACCTAACCTGCTTTCCTGCACCTGCTCACGTTCCTTCATTCCCTTCACACTGAGTCATCTTTGTTTGATTGGTTTTTCAAGACTGGGTTTCTCTGTGTAGCAATCCTGGCCATCCTGGAACTTGCTTTGTAGACCAGGCTATCCTCAAACTCACAGAGATCATTCTGCTTCTGCCTCCAGAGTGCTGTGATCAAAGGCATGCACCACCGCCGTCTGGCTGTGCTGAGTCTTTCAATGAGCGTGAGGTCGGACCACCAATGTTGAAAAGAACAGTTACCACCTTCATTAGAAAAGATTCAAGTGTACACTTCCCACTGGTATGCTTGCTCTTCGGAGTACACCCTCTTGATCCAGGGGTGCAGTTTTATCTCACTGAGGAACTCGTTTGGGTGTCCTTTGTGTGATACTGAGAATATTTCTAACAGGCTAGGGACCAAACCCAGGACTTTGACTTTGTGTACACTTGGCAAGCACATTCCCAATTCAGCTCATGCTTCAACTTCTGCTATTTTAAATTTATTTTGTTTTTAACTGTGCACTCCACATGTGTGTGGGTGCCTGTGGAGGTATTGGACCTCCTGAAGCTGGAGTTACAAGTGATTGTGAGCCATCTGACATGTTTGCTAGGAGTTGAACCCTGGTCCTCTGGAAGAGTAATATGTGCTCTTAACAGCCATCTCTCCATTTCCTCATGCTTCGATGTCTTTAACCATTTTGTTGCCATTCTGTAACCTACATACATACATGCATACATTAGTATATGATGTGTATTATATACACATTATTAGCTAATATTAGTAGTTAAAATAAATAAAGAACCTATGTTTGCCAATGGCTAGATATCAAGGGAAATCAAGATGGCCTGGTGCTATATTTGGGGCAGTGGGCTGTTTAGGCCATACTCACTTGCAGCAGTCTCATAGCTGCTGGAAAGGCAACAGCAAGTCCCCTACACAGGGGAGAGAGCCTGGCGCTAAAATGAGTTCGAATCCAGATGCTGCCCAGGCCATAATGTCTACAGCAGCCTTCTCTCGCTCGCAGATGCTGACAGACACCTACTGAGTCCCCAGCTAAGACATCCTGGAGCTAAGATCCCTCATCAGACTGAGGGATTCCCCTGCTTGTCCCACACCTGCTTCGGGTTTATGTCATAAAACCTTCCCTATCTTCAGAAAAGAGTAATAGCCCCACTTCTGCCACATTGGGTTTGAGGCTCTGCCATATTGTCTCTGGCTGGACCCCAAACTCTCCTAGGAGCCCCCAGCACGTTGTTTTCCTTGTCTATAACATGGCTTTACTAATTTTGCTTTGGTTTTGTTTGTTTGTTTATTTTCAAGTCAGAATTTCTCTTTGTAGCCTTGGTTGTTCTTGAACTTGACTCATACACCAAGCTGACTTGAATTCAGAGATCTGTCTACCTCTGCCTCCTGAGGGCTGAGATAAAGGTGTGTACCACAACACCCAGAGGTGGTTACTTAGGTTTTTATTTCACAGTGGATACCTCAGTGTCTCTTTAGAAAACCCCTCAAACTCTTTCAGCAAATGGCAGCCAACAGCACTGATAGAGCTCGTGAATTTATTGCTTAGAAACATTCTGGCATTTCAGACTAGCACAGCTCTCAGGCCTGGGGTAGCTCTGGGGATCCCGGGCTTCACATCAGCCCATCAGTAGTACAAGAATTCAGTTGCTGGCCATGCCCTTGGGGCCCAGGCTCCTGGAGTGGCAGTGGTCACCTGTCTGTCTCCTCACCTCAGGAAGCCCCCTTTTCCAGAGACAGGATCTTAGCTTCTGGACTTGTGCTAAGAATGAAATAGTAGAAAGAGGGGTCATTCACTAAGGGCTAGGGCCTGAGAAAAAAACATGGCTCTCCCTTCCCCGCCCCTAGGGGCTTCCAGCATCCAGGTCTCCTTGACAAAGCTTCCCTAGAAGGTTGCATCTCATTTTCTTATTGATATAAACCCATGAATCTGAGTAGTAAGCAACAAGCTGAGAAAGAGGTTGGTGACTGGGCAGAGGGGGGAGGGGGAGGTATCAGGATCCCTCACCTACCTGGGAATCAGGCAGGTATGCGTGGCGCAAGCTTCTTAGGGTAGTTCTTAGGTAAGTACAGAGTTCTCTGGCTCTGAAAACAACAGCAACAATGAAGGGTACAAACACTGTTGGCAAGAGGTGCCTGGGGCTGAGCCAAGGTGTGAAGGTGGGGGAGTCTGGAAGAAGGCAGATGGCAAGCCTGGTGGTGGTGGCACATGATTTTAATATCACCACTCGGGAGGCAGAGGCAGCGGATCTTTGGTTTTTTTGTTTGTTTGTTTTAATATTTATTTATTTATTTTTATTTATTATGTATACAATGTTCTGTCTGCGTGTATGCTTGAAGGCCAGAAGAGGGCACCAGACCTCACTACAGATGGTTGTGAGCCACCATGTGGTTGCTGGGAGTTGAACTCAGAACCTTTGGAAGAGCAGGCAATGCTCTTAACCACTGAGCCATCTCTCCAGCCCCAACAGGCGGATCTTTGTGAGTTCGAGACCAAGCTGGTCTCCAGGACAGTTAGGGCTGTTACACAGAGAAACTCTGACTCAATGGAAAGAAAAAAAAAAAGGAACAAGGCAGACAGCAAGTTCCACCCCTCATGTCTTTCTCTGTCCCAAGTGCCACACTCACCCAGGAGTGAGGACTCTCCAGTGGTGATGGAGCCAAACTCCATGGAGTGAACAATGCCCAGCGGGTGGTCCCTGCAGGGCCCATTGCTGGTCCTATGCAGCAGAGAAGAGTTCAGGAGGTCAGAAATTGACTTAAGCAAGGCAAAGGAAATTGCTTCCCCAAAGCATGGCACACAGTCCCAGCGCTGTAATGACTGATTTTTCCACACTCAGGCTTCAGATCCCACCTTCCTGTTCCATTCTTGAAGTGTCCAGACGCCACTCAAGACCTAGAACCTCCAAGGCTGTGGCCATCTTCTCTCTCCAAACCTACTGTTTCTCCCAGGCTGACTCCACTCCATCCTCCACTCACTCTAGATGTAGGGCTTGCTTAGGTCCCATCTAGAGCTGAGTAGGGAGCTGCACCCTGGGGGTGGGAGTTGTGCTGTCTCCTTTCAGCTGGGTACTCGGAGCCATCCTTGGCTGCCAGTGCCTTTCCCACAAGGCCTTGCTGTTTTGTTGTTTCGTTCAGATAGTCCCCGCTGCCCTCTAGACCCCATCCTAAAGGTGGTGTGCAGCTGCTACTCCCCTGCAGTGCCCTTGCCAGCTGCCATGCCACCTTGTT